CCTAAAGCAAAATATCTGCATCCTTCACATACTGCCCTTATTTCTTCTTTCTGGGGCCATTCAGAAAAAGTCTAATCCCTTTTCCACATAATATCCCTTCAATGCATTTGATAAGACTCCACTTCTCTTGGCAAAATATCTCCAATTCTTATAACCAAGCCTTCCATGGCACAGTCTCCAGGCCCTGCTCCATCTTTGTTGCCTTCTACTAGATTCACTTCTACTTGACAATTTCTTTCTAAAAATATAGTGTCCATAATCTAGAAAAGGAACCTCTATGAATAAGGAGCCCTGAATTTCCATTGGACAAGCAATCCCAAGAACTCCAGGGAAAACAGTTCCCTCAGGCCTTAAGCCCTGTTTTAGCTCAGCTCCCCCTGTTAGTGATTAGATAACTTAGATACTGCCTCTGTAGGTGATGTAACCAGTGGCTCCTCAGCAGTCATAGCTACTAAGATATGGAAAAGAAAGTTCTTGATACAGAAGTCTTTGGCATTGACAGCTGGTTTATTATCAGATGCAAAAATGTCTCCCCAGTAGAAATGATACTTTTAAAAAGCATAGTACTATTTGGTTTTCTGCTGTATCATAAGATCTTTGGGGCTTTTCTATCTAACTCGCAGTTTAAATCTCCTATTTGTATTGTCTTCCATAAGAATGTGAGATTAAGAGCAGGACTCTTCTTACTTTTCTATTTGCATTCCCAATATACCTCATAAGTGCTTAATACATACTTTTTCACTAAACACAATATTTCAGAGTGGGTCTGAAGGACACTGCATTAACTTTGGGGGTTGCTATGTCTTACTCATATTATTGACTGCATTGACCTTCATAGTCAGCTAAAATTCCCAGCTCTTTTTCACACAACTATTTGTCTAGCTATGCTTTTCCTATCTTGTGACAATGACTGTTGGTTTTTTGGTTTGTTTGGTTTTTTTAGCCCAAGTATAGGACCTCTTATTTATTTCTATTAAATTTCATTTTACTGGATTTATCTTATCTTGCTAGCTTGCTGAGATCTTTTTTTTATTATAAATGTTATTCAGTGTGTTCAATAACTCTCTTGACTTAGTGTTTCTTCAAAGCTGATAAGCATGCCATCTATTACTTTATCCAGCTCTGATTAAAATGTTAAACTACACAAAGGCAAGCACAACTTCCAGCGACACTTTGCTGCTCCCTTCCTAGCTGACCTTTCACTCATGATGACCTTTTGGGTCCAGATGTTCAATTGGTTCTACATCCACTGAAATGTACCCTTGCCTAGCCCCAGTTTTTATCTTTTCCATAAGAATAGCATGAGAGAGTCTGCCAAATGATTTGCTAAAGTAAAACATGCCTGTAGCTTTCCCCCAATCCACAAATCTAATATCAAATTGCATGTTTCAGGCGTGTGAAAAACAAGGCTCTATCAGTACTATATGATATTAGAACTGGAAGAGACATAAAAATCAGAGAACTGCAGGACTTACAGATGAAAGTGATGTTAGAGATCAAGTACAATTCCCTAATTGTAGAGATGCAAAAAATAAGGCCCAGAGAATTGAAATGACTTGTTAAAAGTCATAAAGAGAGTAAGTTAGTGAGCTAAGATTCAAAGTCAAGTTTTCTCACTTCAAATCCTCTAGTATATTTAAAGATGAGAGTACTGAGACCCAGAGCAGTTGAGTGACTTGCAAGGTGTAATGTGGAAGAGTTTTGACTTGATTTAGAAGAATCTAGGGAGCTACTAAAGACCTTTGAGCAAAGAAACAAAATGATAAAAGCAGTTTTAATGGAAAATTCGCCCAGTAACAATATGCAGGATACATCTGAAGGGAAAAACCTAGCATTAGGCTTCCAGAGACAAGAATGTTGAAGTAACCCATAATAACAAGAATCATGAATAAAACCAACAAGCATTTATATCTACTATGATGTATGGACTACTGTAGGTACTGTGGATACAAATACAAAAGTGAGGTAGTTCCTGACTTCAGTCAGCTAACATTCTAATGGGAGTAATACAAAAATTTCAAGCATAAGTCAATACAAGATATTTGTAGATATACATATATATATGCATATATGTATATGCATATACATATATATCAAACCATCTCTATTTGTGACATTGTTTTTATCCTGATTGAAAGCATGATAATTTTCCAAAATTATCATGCTTTCAATCAGACTAAATATGGTGTCACAGAGATAAGTTTTGAAAATAGCAATAGGGTCTATTTACTACTCCAAACCACTTGCACCTACCACCAGAAAGAAAAAAATAGTCAACAGCTCCTTAATAAAACAAAAACAAAAACAAAAACAAAAGCAACCCAATCCCAGTATAACAAAAAATAAAGGCCCTATGTACATTAGGAAGAAGAAACAAGTACTGCTTGGTAAGTCCCTGCTAAGGGGTACTATGGTGACTATTTTCAGATCTGCAAATATAAAGAGTTACACTGTCTTTTCAAGGATGTATACAGGACGTGACAAAGAACCTTGCAAGGTGTATCAAACTGAATGATAAATAAGGATATAAATTATGTGTACAGAAGGGATCTAGAAAGCATTGCTGAAATTATAAATTATTGGGTAATAAAACATTAGGGTACAAGAAGTATTATTCCTATTAATGCTGGCAAGGGCTTTAGAAAAGAAAGACATCTGGAAATTGAACAGGTGGATAAGAAGATGGTGTCTGGAACAGGCATTTGGTTTAGAATAGTTTAGAATATAGAAATGACAGTCTCCAGATCAGGGATGAAGTGTACCTAACAAAGATTGGCATGAATACATTTGGCTGAAGTCTTGTAAATCTAATCAAAAAGCTTGCTTAAAATGAAAAGGGAAAGGGAGGTAGGAAACAAACCAATTTTTATCTACCAAGACACAGAAAGCTACAATGTAGCAAGAAGAACAGCAGGGAAGATATCCAGAATTATAGGAGACACCAATTTAAGAAAAGTATCCAATAGTAAAGCCCTTGGTCTCAAATGCTTATCCACAGATACACAGAGTATGAATACCAAGTAAAACAAACCAAAGATTCCAATGCAAAGACAAATCTGACATCCAGATATTTAATTCCAAGTATCACCAGAATTAAAATTATGTGTCATCTAAAGAGCAATAAAGAACATCATGGGCCTGTGTATGCAGCAGCTTATGACCAATCCTGAATTGCTTTGGAGAAACAGTGTAACAGATATCATCATAGAAACTGCCTGGAAAAGAATGCGGGGTGGTTATGCAGGAAAATAGGAATAAATAATGGACAGACTGAACGCTGCATCGGTAAACATGTAATGTCATGAGATCTAAAGGAAGACACCAACACTTCTGGTGGATCCCCTAAGAAAGGACAGATATAAACCAAGAGTTACAAAGATTGAAATAAAAATAGGTAAATGAAGTGCAATCTATAGTATTTCAGGGAGTAAGTACACTGAAAATATGGGTCTGAAAGGGTATTACTTATTTAAAATAAAGAATGAGAAAGGTAAAAAATTATAGGTAAAGTACCACTGTATATTAAGAAAATATATTAATATGATAAAATTCAGGAAACAATGGGAAGAAATAAGAAAGCATGGGGGGAAGCATATGAATGAAGATAAGCTTTTTGAGAGCTTGGTCAGCAAAAGGGAAAAGGAGTGAGGAATAGCAGAAAACAATGGATTTAGAATCAAAAGTTCTGGGATTATAGGATTTAGAACTGGAAGGGGCTTTAGAGCATATCTAGTCCAATTCTCTCATTTTACTGATGAGGAAACTGATGCCAATGAAGTTCAGTGACTTGAACAAAGTCATACAGGTATTAAGTAATAGATCAAGGATTTGAACTTAAGTCCTTTGATTTCAAACCCAATGACCTCACGACTGGATTTGAATCCTGGCTCCAAATTTTAATAGCTCTGCAATAATGGGCAAATGATTTAACTTTTCTAAGTCTCAGTTTTCTCATCTAAAAAAAATGGGGATAACATTATACTATTTACCTCACAGGACTGTGAGTCAAATACTATGTAAATGCAAGGTTCTGTACATATTTTGAAGTTCTCCTAATCTACAACAGTGGGCATAGTTGCCTGTCATAAGTGTAAATTTTTAAACTTACTGAAAGTTATAATACTTCTATTTCTGGCTCTTAACTCCTACCATTGTTTATGTGTTTTTAAAACTCAGTCACTTAAACTAGGTACAGTAGTGTAAGTAAACATCTGTATGACATAATTTTAGGAGTTCATTAAGATCCTACTGCCCCCAAATATCTCCTCCTGGCTTAAAAGTTCATACTTTTAAAAAAAAAAAGTCTGGCTTAAAATTGATGTAATTAAAATCAATTCTTTTGGTTAGACAACAAAGATGGAACATTTGCCTTCTCCCCCTAACAATTAAAATGTATATTAATTGTGAGGAGCTGGGGATCTTGGAGGAGGAGGCAGTGTCCTCCTATAGACCTCTCCTATGAACACGTCTACTGATAAGACTGGCTCTGCTGGTCTCACTTTGAAAGGCACAGAAGGAATGTCTCGAATTCCCATTATCCTCTGTCCCTGGGAACGGACTAAAAATAGAACAGAAAGTTCCAATCAGGATGCCCTCATTGGTAATAAATAGGCTAGTCCCGAATGACTGAGGAACTGTGAGATCCAGGAAGGGCAAAATCGAGGCTACAGTGGTGCCAGAAATGGCTGGTGCTTGTAGGAAAGAGTTCATGAAAATGGGGGCGCTGATGAGGCAGAAGACAAACCACTATTTTGCTTGGGAAGGCTGTCATTCAAAGGGTGCACATGTGATTCAGGGTCTTCCAGACCCCGGCCTCTTCCTTTAAACCTCGTTCTTAAAGTTATAAAGGCTCCACTAACTCTAGAAGGTAGGAAATGGGGGGGGGGGGTGGAAGGGGGAGGGGTCGGTCATAGTTATTGCTTTAGGTTTAGGCATTGGTTTCAGGAAGCTCCAATATCTGGCTGGAAACAACCTGGCTAAGTTTCTCGTCGGTGCCTTACCTGTTCCTATAGTAGTACTGGCTTTCAATGAACTGGAGCCGATTTTGCAGAGTGACTAGAGTAGCCATGGCCTTCCCCGCCCCCTTGGCGCCCAACTGATGTTACTCTCTGTCCCCATAGCAACTGGATCATACCATATCCTTCCATCAAGAAGGGCGAGCTCCCTCTCCCACCCTCCTCTGTCTCAAACTTTGTACCCCACAGAAACGGCCTAAAGGCTTGAATTATGACTCTGATTTAATCCCTCAGCCTGTCAGGCTCTACAACTGCAGATGAAGATTTTTAGGGGCGTTTGACCCCCCGCGAGGGGGGAGGATGCTACTTAGTCTCGTCTGGCTTCCGTTTTCCGCTAGCCCGCCGCTTCCGGAGTCCCCTCTCAAAATGCTACTCCGCGGCCGAAGAGTCCCTTCAGGTACAGGAGCCGGAGCCCAAACCTGAGCTGGAGCCTCAGCCTCCCCTCGGGCCTGAGCCTCGGGGCCCGGCTCCCGGGTGTCGTTAATGTTCGGGGCGGCCTGGAGCCAACCGATCGGAGCTCGAGCCACGGCGAAACGCTGGTGAGGCTGGCGGGCCCGGGGACAGGGGAGAGGCAGAGAGAGAGGACTGGAGGGACTGACGGTGACCCGAGGCCGCAGAGGGAAGGAGGGGAAGGGAGCGCCCAGGTGGGAGTGACAGGCTCTGGAGGTGATGATGCCCTGTGAGGAGGAGGTGAAGGAGGAGAATGAGCTCTCCGAAGATATTGGCCTTTGGCTTCCCTTTCCCCTCCTGAGGTGGAAGGAAGTTTGAGGAAGATGAGACCGTACTTGGAGGAGGGCACGGGGATGAGCAGGACGCTCGTGTCTCACCAAGGGATACTTGTTGATTGCTTGAGTTACATGTTTGAGGGATTTGAGGACGAGTCTTGGAGAGGTTCCTCCCTCTGCAGTTGACGAATGGGGACTTGTGTTTTTAGATCCCCACCTCTACTCTCATACAAATAACACTAAGTACGAAATCCTCCTAGAATCATAGAAATGTAGAGCTTGAAGGAACCCTAGAGATTACTTCGTTTTCTGAGACAGCAAGCATTTATTAAACATTTAATACATGGTAGGCACTGTGCTAAGCTTTGTGGAGGAAGGAGGTACCAAAAAAAGTTAAAAAACAAAAACAAAAACGTGGTCCCTGTCTTCTAGGAGCTCACATGGGGAGAGACAATATGTAAATAACTCTGTTCACACTGTCAATTCATAAACATTTGTTAAGGGCCTGTTATGTGCCAAGCACTGTGCTGAGTCCTGGGGATGCAAAAAGAGGCCCTGGAGCTTGCAAGTCTAATGTGGGAAACAACATGTAAATAATTCTGTTCACACAATCAAACATTTGTTAAATGCCATCTACCTCCTAGTCCTGGTGCTAAACACAGGATATACAAAAAGAGGCAAAAGGCCATCCCTGTCATGAGCTTGCAGTCCAGTGGGGGAACCAACATGTAAATAATTCCATTCACACAGTCAGCCAATAAACATTTTTTAAATATTTGCTTTGTGCCAGTCACTGTGCTGGGGATACAAAAAGAGGCAAAAGACAGTTCCTGTTCTCTAGGAGCTTATAATCACCTGTACACTAGCCACTGTATCACCTATCTGCCTAAAGTTAAGAATCAAAACAGTCCCTTCTGTCAATGAATTCACATTCTACTTAGGAGAGACAACACACAAAAGTGATGTCCAAAGAAGTTATGCCTTGGCCAACTCCTTAGTGGCACAGCCACTTCCTAGCTACAGCATGTCCTCTTTTCTCCCAGCCCAGTGCCCTTCCTACTACATGTTGCTGCCTCCCTGTATAATTTCAGAATTTGTATTCCAGGCTCTTAAAGTGAGCTTAATCTTTAAAAAAAAGTATATAGTTTAAATGAAAGGTAAAGACATTAGTTAATCTGGTCTTTCCCTCCGGATGAGATCTACCATTTATCTACCTGTATGACCCTTAGGCAAAGCAATTCATTTCTTCAATCTTCAGTTTCTTCATCTGTAAAATGAAAATTTGAGGGTAGGTGACCAGATTTTAGAAACCACTCTAAATAGTATTGTCCAGGGATAGATATAAACCCTATTTTATAGATAAGGAAACAAACTCCTAAAGATTAAAGAGACTGGCGCAAAGTTTTGCAGTGAGGTCAAATCATAGCTTAGAATAGAATCCAGATCTAATTCTTCCCTTTCTGAACTCCAGGTGTCAGAAGAAGTGCACTCAGTTTCTTTGTATGAAAAAATAAAACATCCAGTTCTTAATTGCTAAGATAATATAATGGAGATTTAAAGCTGGAAGGGATATTAGAAGTCATCTGGTCCATCCCATTGAAACCCAGAGACGTTAAATGAGTTATTTGCTAAAAGTCACAAAATGTCAGAACTGGGATTTGAACCTAGGACCTCTGACTTGAAAGCCAACTACCACTGTGTGGTGGTTAGTAAACAAATGTGGCCTTTGCATTCATAGAATTTGAGAGCTAGAACTAGACTTAGAGGTCATCTAGTTTAACTCCTTCATCAAAGTTAATATAATTGAAAAACATTTATTATTTACTGTGTGTTATGCATTGGCACAAGTGCTGGGGATAAAATAATAATACTAGCTAGTATTTATATATTGCTTTCAGGCTTTTTAAGTACTTTACAATTTTACCCTTATAACAACCCAATGAAGTAGGTGCTATTTTTATTTCCATTTTACAGATGAGGAAATTGAAGCTGAGGGAAGTTTCCCAGGGCCCAGCTAGTAAGTATCTGAAGCTGGAATTGTTGAGGTTTTAATAAATATTTAGAGTCAGATATTCCTAATTTAAGTCCCCATTCTAGCTACTGTACCACCCAGCTGCCTAAAATAAAGAATCAAAACAGTCCCTGCTTTTAAAAGAATTCACATTCTAATTAGGGGGAGACAACACACAAAGTGAGGTTCAAAGGCCTTGTGCCTTGGCCTGTTCCTTAGTAGCATAGCCACTAGACCTATATTCATTACTAGAACATGTCTTTTCTCCCAGCCTACACATTGTTTGCTGCTTCACTATATAATTTCAAAATGTATATTACAGGATCTTAAAGTGAGGTCAATCTTAGAAAAGGATTCCTTTGTGTTGGAGAGACAGCATGATGTTATAGAGTGCATAACTAGCCAGGAGACCTGGGTTCTGGTCCCCATTCTGCTATTTGACTGGTGTGACTTTGGGCACATTATTTAACATAGTTTCCCCACCTGTAAAATAAGAGAGTTTCCCTACATGATTTCTAAAGGTTTTTTTTTTTAGCTCAAAAATTCTGTGACTAGATATTTTGTTTGTAATTAGCCAGCTGCCCTTAGATAATAAAAAGATTGTTGACTTAGTCTTAGCAGAATTGATTTTCCAAAGGAGGACTAACTCAGGAGAAGTTAGCTTGTTTTGTTGTTGTCATGGCCAGTCACTTAGCCAGTTTAGGTTGGCTGACTCTAAAATCTGTTTTTTAGGTCAGTTTCAAAGTCTTGAGATTAAATATTCGTTAAAAAAGAAAACACAATAATCTGTGTGGTTTCCTTTATCAATGTAGAATAGGAGTTTCTTTTGTTGTATGCATCTGTGCAGTCTTGCAACTAGTTTAGTTATAGAATCCTTTTGCTTATTTCTTCCTCTCTCCTGCTATTAGTGATATAGAGCCTAATTATCTATTAGTCTTTGTTGTTTTTAAGCACATATTATAATAATATTGTTACAGTATATTTTTTTTATTTCTCTTCACCTAAATCATAAATACTAGCAAATGCTAGGTACTCAGACATTGTTAATAAATCCCTGCTGTCTCCTCTCCAAATCCCTTTGAAGAGAAAAGAAGACAACTCCTATCCTATTTTAGGGACGCATAAACTGATTTACAGAGAAGCTCTGATACACTCTCTCTCTCTCTCTTTCTCTCTTTCACATATACAGTATGATTTTATGACTTATCTTGTAGGATGTGTGTGTGGTCTACGTTTTGATCCAAAAATATATTGTCCTTTAAAAAAAGTTAGGCATTATAGATGCTTCTACTTTTTAAGAGAATGACCCCACCAAGTGTCCATTTTTTGTAAAAACCTCCCTTCTAATTTTAACCTACTTTTAAAATTAAGAACAGCAGGTAAAAGGAAAGCAACATTTAGAATTCAAGTTAATTTCTTAGAACTGTTTCCCTTAAGCATGTTTTAAGATTCTGATTTCCTGTTTGAGGATTTGAAAAGGTGTAATTTCCTTTAAAATATTAATTTGGGAGGAATATCAAACCTGGAATTTTATTGATAGGGGGAACTCTTGGTAAGAAAACTACTAGTGTAGATATCAGCATGTGCTCTTGGTGTCTTTATGAGTTGCATGAGACATTGAAAGATTAAGTGACTTACCCAAGACTTACCCACACTACCAGATTAAATTGTTAATGTTTCTGTACTTTAATATCTAAGTATGGAATATATTTTAGCATTTTAATTGTAACCTACTTGTGGAAGTCCTTGAATACGGGCCTAAGGAGTTTGAATCTTATCCTGTGGGATAGTAGGAAGTCAATTTTATGCATAATTATACTTTGGGGGAAGGAGAATGAAATGTTACCATGATCACCTGAAGGGAACTCATAGCTTGGTTAACTCCCTCCACCAAATGCAACAACTTACTTATGGTTTAGTAATTAAGTCCCAAGGAGTTGCCTTGAGGTACAACTGAAGTGACTTGCCAAGGATCAACTACTATTAATTGTTATAAGAAGAAGCAAAATTTGATCTAAGGTTTTATTCATTCCAAGGCCAGCACTATGGTTTGGTGTTTCTATCAGTTTTTTAATGAAGCATCAATCAAATTTAAATCAGAATTTCTGTATATGTAATCTTATTCCTTGTTTTAATTTTGATTTTCATTTTTAGTCATTTTTAAAATAAAGTTGTTGGGTTAGGTGTTTTTTAAATTTTTTTTGTCTCTTGGTTTTGTTTGAGAAATGCACCCTATTTTGAAAAGTTATTGTAACTTTTGGGAGGTCTTAGGCTATATTTTATTTATATTACTATCAGATTAGTACAAGTTGAGCTTTATTATTTACATTTCAAATTGTAAGGAAACTCAGCCATGGTACAGTTAACTTGTTTCACCAGAGTCTGTTAAGAACTTTTTCTCTTCCAAACTGACTCTTCCTGTTGACTTCTATATTGTTTTTTGTCACGGGCATCATTTTCCCAATTTTTTATTCTCACTGTGGCCTTTGATTTGTTCCTTCTCCCTTATTCTCCCTACCCAATCATGGCCTTTCAGTAGTAGTACTCTTAAGTCATTATGTGTATTAATAATGATGATGATGGTGATTGATGATGATAGCAGCTGCTGTTTATGTGATGCTTTAAAATTATCAGTGTTTTACGTATTTTATTTTATTTTATTCTTGCAACTAAACATCCTTTGAAGTAGATATTACAGGTAGCGTCATTCCTGTTATTAACCATAAATAAACTAAGATTCAGAGAAAAGAAGTAACTTCCACATAGTCTCATAGCCACTAAAAGTTAGAAACAGAATTTGAAC